GTTGTAACATTTGTTGTTTATAGTCAACAAAATCTTGTTGCTTTTTAGTTGATTCTTTACGCCATTGTTCCTTTGGGTAGTAAATCAGCACGAATTTTGTTCATCTTTATTTCTAATGCTTTTGCTCTTCTCTCACTTGATCCAGTTCCGCTTTAGTTTCTTTGATGTACTCTTCTTTTTCTTCTGGAATTGTTTCTAATGTCCTTATTTTTGTTGTTTCTGTTTCATTTTGTTTTTCATGTCGTTTTATAGCATCCAAACATGTTTTTATGACGTATTGTTTTATCTTCATTTTCGTGATCTTCAGTCCATTTCTTCACTTTATTCAGTTCTGTTTGATTTTTATCATAAGATCGTTGTTGCTGTTTTAATTTGTCTTGACTTTGTTTACACAACTGTTTTTTGTCATCGAAGTCCATTTTAAATTTATCAATTTCTGTTTATCGTTCGGTATGCTTCAAATTGAGATCAGTTTCTTTGTCTTTGAGCTGATATCGCTTCAGTTGACAAAATATCGATTTTGTACGTTTATATTCATTTTCACATTCGATCCATTCAACAGCTGCATGATAAGGTTCTTCTAGTAATTTCAATTCATTTTCAGCTACTTTAATGCGACTTTTCTAAAGAAAAAAGCAAGTGAATCGGTCCTTCACATCACTCGAATGAATGTTTTAATATTACAGAACGATGTGTCACGCATAGTGTAGTTTCTCTTCCTGAAACGTTTTCTGTGATACTGGAAAATGAAAGGCAAAAACTTGCCTTAGATAATTTTTCTACTAACCCTGCTACAAGATATTAAATAGTATAAACTAGCTTGATGAAATAGCCACTAATAACTGAAGAATATTCTAAGTAACATATCATAAAAAGACTCTTACCTTTTCAGCCCAAAGCGCATTTAATTCTCCTAGTTTTTGGTTGATTAATTCAAGTGGTTTTCAAAACGTTCTGTCCCAATAATATCTTCAAGATATTCCAAGAAGCCTTGTTCATGTTCATTAGGCGCTATTGGTTTCATCAATGCGATGGATTCGACATCACCCTGAACAAAATAAAAAAATATTCCTGTCTATAGTAAACATACACAGACAGACAACGCACAAGAATTTACTTGTAAGATCAAATATCGGCTATGATCCAAATCGACACCATATTTTCGTAAGAACGTTGTTACATCTTTAAGGTGAACTTGTTTTTCATTGATTTTGTACTGACTTGAGTTATATAGGCGATACGGGCAATTGAAAAATGAATTTGTTCTTCAGTCTGAAAATAGACGAAGAAACTGTACACCGACTTCTCTGAAAGAATATTTAACACTGTTTCTTTTTCTTATCGAACAGAATAAAAAGATCAGTAACTTTAGATGTTCACTGGATGAAAAGTTCTTTGTTTATTCCACTAAACAAATTCAAAGCGATGGCGAGCCAGAGCAAATTATGCTTTACGTATACAGGAAACATCTGACTGTTTTATCTATAACTTGTTTGCTAACTCTGAGTTTCAGCACATATTACATGAGAGTACACTGAACAGGTTAACTTCGTGAACAGAAATGTGGATAAAAACAATCAAATCTTTCTTCCAATAAAAGAAATAACGAAAGATAAGTCAAATAACTTGATTTACGTACATCATCGATTGATATCGCATCAAAATAAATCGTTACAGAACAACTTTGTACATTTGAGTTTACAATAGGAAGCAAATACGGAGATAGATTATCTCTTTCCATATACGGACATTTTTTGGCCTCCGCGTGGCGATAGAAAAGAAAGAGAACAGAAAGATATGCATGTGCAGAAAGACATAAGTCTCCTTATTTGCTCGTTCTCTAATAATTTGTCAGTTAGATATGTAAACAAAATCATTTTTAAATGACTTTAATTGAAGTGATAAATTACAATAAAAATATACAGTTTGTTGATCCCGATAATCTATTCAACTTTCTCCAAAATAAAATGCCAAAAGTAAATGAAGATATTAAAAGATCAAAAATCGCTACAACTATCATCTTTTAATTTTTGAACGTTCATTTGAGCATCTCAGTTTTTAGTCTTTAATTTATATAGAAATCGAGAAAACAAGACTGAAGCATATGTGAAGAAGCGAGACTTAGAGGCAACAATGGGCATTTTTTGCTAGAGCAGGCGGACTTTAGCTTTATGAGTGAACTAAAATTTCATGAACCATTTTTTATAGATTTTCCATGATCCTCTTTCTAACAGCATGAGAGTTGGGTTTTGAAAAAGTTTTCTAAGGAGCTTTCCAGAGATCCGGTCTCTGGAAAACCCTTCAGAAAACTTTCTCAATATTTAAAAACAATGCCACTGGGAAGAGCATTGTCGAAAACCTATAAGAAACATGTTTCGAGTCGTTCAGGTTCCTTTATCTTGAAATTCAAATTTTCAGCACGAAATTGTTTGTGTGAATCTCAAAAACTAAGAAATCTCTAGAATTCAAAATCGAGCCACCGAAACTAGATGAGTTATACACCATTAGATGCAGTTTTTTACGCTGATTCCGAATATGGTATTATATCTGATGAAATGTGTGTTTATAAGGGAGAAAAATTCGAAATATCTCAAAAGGGGGGTTATGGGTTTTGGAAAATCCATAAAACGTTTTTGAAACATATGCGAGATTTTGCGATTTCATCATAAATAGACTAGTTGTAGAGGAACATTTTGATGTATTTAGAAGGTCTATAGGGGTTTACCGCTATTTAACGATATCACTACACAGAAGTAGTGTCATACCGGTATGAGATGATGAAGAATCATTAACTGTTACTTATTGCAATTACTTTCCAAGTATAAACATTTTGCTATCAGTAGATAGCTGAAGACATGCCGATTCTGAATATGTGCTTTGAAGTCGCGTAACATAGCTGAGTGAGTATAGAATCGTGATTTCGAGTGTGGTAACGATATTCACTATGGGTTTTATGTACACTGCCTTCTGCTCGAAGGATCCATTTTCAAAATAGACATTTATACACCATTCGATAGAGAATTTGAACAGCTACATTTTACACTATTTATATTTGAGAAAAGAGTTACTTCGATTTTTTGCCTAATGTCCGCCTGGATGCCCACTGTGGAGGTGTCGTTTGTATTCTGTGCAAACAATTTTGAAATATTTTCTCATTATCTAGTCTACTGTCTAAAAAACAGCATGACCTATTTCTGGACCTTTAAAAGTTTCGGCAGAGGAAAACGTTCAATGTAATCTTTGTTTTCTGATCTTAAAATTTAATTTATTTTTTGTTTTGTTCGTTTGTTTATTTAGACGGTTGAAATTGATCCATTGGATGCACGTGAAATACAAGTATTAGAAACAGCTGAAGATATTCAGGCACGACGTGATCAAGTTTTAACACATTTTCAAAATTTTAAAGATGCTGCAAAATATCGTCGTGAAAAATTAGAAGATTCACGTGAATATCAATATTTTAAACGTGATGCCGATGAATTAGAAATATGGATTAATGAAAAATTACAAATATGTTCACAAGATGGTAATTATCGTGATACATCGAATACTCAAGTAGATTGAAAATATTTAGTGTTTGAATAAATACAAGTCTTTTTTTTTGTTTTGTTGTTGAAAAAGGTAACATTGTAATAGACATTCTTAAAATATAATTCTAATTTTTATTTTTATTTTAGGAAAAGCTTTGGATGAATTTGGTCGTCAATTATTGGATAATCAACATTATTCATCTGATTTAATTCGTGAAAAATTAGATTTATTATCTAAATCACGTGTTTTATTATTAGATAAAATTAGTGAAAAACGTCGTATGTTACAAAATACATCAAATTATTTTACATTTGAACGTGATTGTGATGAATTAAAATTATGGGCAAAAGAAAAATTAAAAATGGCATTAACAAAAGATTATATGGATACATTAAATATTAATTTAAAATGTCAAAAACATCAACAATTTTTAAATGAATTAGCTGCTTATCAACCAAAAATGGATAGTGTTATATTAAATTAAAATTAAAGTGTATTTTTGTTCAGGTGGCGATTTAATTGGTGTTCAAAATTTATGTCGTAAACATCAAGCACTCGGATCTGAAATTCAAAATCATGAGGGACGTATAAGAAAAGTTTGTAATGAAGGTGAAGATATGATTAATCAAGGTATGTTTTCTTCTTTTTATTTTCTATAATAACAATTTAATAAATATTTGTTAAATAAAAGGTCATTTTGCTGCACCCGAAACTAAAAAACACATTGTTAATTTACAATTTAAATGACATAAAAGAAGTATCTAGTCTACGTATAAGTAAAAAATAGCAGCTCAGAAGTCGCCTTTCAATCCGAGAAAAACTAGATTTGATGATGATGGGATTGAAATAACACTTGTTTTAAAAACCAAATGTAGCGCTTGAAAAATTATATTGCAGTGTATTGTTGTAACAATCGGAGTGCTAGTTTTGGTAGCACGATAAAATGTTTGAAAAAATATGTTTTATGTTAAAAACCAGTATTGGTTTTAAAAAGCCATGGTATCATACGAAACTGGTGGCTGTCGATCGACGACTACGCAAGATAAAATTGTACTAGTTTGTAGTGATTTAAATACTAAATCAGTACAGAAATTTGAGAAATCCAATTACTTAAGTTTCTAAGGATTATACGATTTTTGAAAACTAAACGTCTGTAGTTTGTTAGAAAGACTGTAAAAACCTGACTCGACTCGTTGCATTTTCACTTTTAGTTTAGTATCAGAGAAATTGAGATGAGAGATAATAGAAATTACAAGCCGACTTTTGGTCAGTTTTTGTTTCTCATTATTTTTCAACTAAACTGCTATGGCGAAAAAATTCAATTTACAATTTTGAAACTGATGCCATATCTCTTTCTTTCAAATGGAGCAAAAATGAATGTTCCAGCACGTTGGAAACACATATATACTGGTATCCACTATTGTACGGAAACTTTTTCATCACTCATTAATTAACTGACCATTTAAAAGAAAGTTGTTATTAGTGCATCAAATTAAAGAATAAACGTTTAGTTGAAATAGAGTTTCTCAATGTAGCATCTTAATGTACATAATAAGATTTATTAGATCAATTAGAATTAACGTTTTGAATTGGTTATTCTTCAGCTGAAATGCATTTTTGCTAATATTGAATGTGTTGTCTCTAAAAAATATTAATTCATTTCCTAAAAAAAGTATATAAAAAATTTACAAAAACCAATATCTACCACCACACTACGGCAGTTTTAACAAAGAATAATGGAACGAAATTTGTCATTAGGTACAAAACACTATAAAAACAGACTTTTAAAGAAAAAAATCAAGCAATACACTAACGTTTTCATTTGATTTACCACTGTTTGAAAATATATATCTGAGCAGTGCACATTAAATAATTTTAACGAAATGTTATTGATCAGTAACAAATCGATCGATAGCATCCCAATCGATAACAGACACAACGCTACTATCTCTTACGGACATTTCACTTTCATCTCGAGCAGTCTGGTTTCTATCACTCAATTGTCGAGCACTATTATTTTGAGTATTATTCTGCCAAATTCTCGTTTGATCCAATTGTAGTAAATCATCGGCATATGTGTTCTCATTCTTTTCTGTTACTCGTGTTAAACTATACGTTGATTCATCATCATCTTGTTCATCTAAACGAGCTATGTTTACTGTTCGATTAATATTTTTTCTTTGATGATCACGTGACAATTCATTTTCATCAGCTAATAATTCTTTGACTCGCTCATCTACACTCCATTCGGATAAGCTCAATGAGATATCATCTTCCGTTTTAGCGCTCATTGGACGATTATTATTATTATTTGTCAATATTCCACTTGGCATTACTCGTTCGGTTAATGGCATTCTATGCTGGGAAGGTTGACTTCTGGAGGGCGGTTGTAACTCTCTCATACGTTCACTATATGTTTTTGTTAAACGCTCTCCTGTTTTTTCATATGGTTTGTATAGACCGGGTGCTCGTCTCGTGCCGTATAAACGCATCAATGCTTTTAGATCAGATGTTTGTTGTTGTTGAGTGTCAGAAGGGGATTTTTTTAATGCACGAACACGTTGATTGTACGTGGTTGCCTTGTGAGATGGTATAGTGCGTGGTGGTGATTTTGATTTTGATCGTAGTTGTGTAGTTAGACGACGTACATAATTTTGAATATCCGTTACATTTTGTGGTGCATTCGTTATTGAAGAACGAGATTGCTGGAGTTTAGCAGGAGATGATAAAGGTCGTCTCAGATTGCTATTACTACGAGAAGAACTGGCTGGTGGTGGACCAGTTCTGATGGTATTTTTCGATTTAACTTGTAGAAGTGCTCTACCAAATGGCGTTAGTTGTTTGTTACCAGCAGATGAGGGACGACGAGACATTGAGGCAGCCGAACCAGGTCTACTGGATGTTGGAAGTAATGGCGATGATGGAGTGGAATACGGCGCTGCATTTTGATTAATATTTGTGCGTGCTTGCCTGGCTGATGCTGGCCTCAGACTGTCTCTCGTGGGTATTCGATCATAATTAAGATCATCATCAAAATCTAAATCGTACGTTCGATTTATTGCTTGTTCATGCTGATGAGTAGTCCACAGTTCTTGTCCCAGTTCGTCGCGAACAGTCGATGTAAAACTGGTTTCTAATGGCTGAAGTTCAAATTCGCGTAATGCCTTGGATACCGGTACATGCTCATCGTATAAAACTTTATCAACAAATTGTAAAACTTCTTGTTCTCGCGCACGTGATAGCTCCATTTGTTGCTTACGTCGCTCTTCGGCGTGTTGATCACTTATTGTTGGTGACATCGTTTTACGTGGTGATGTTTTTTTACGAGCTGAAAATGGTTCACGCGGGGTAGTGGTTTTTATTACTACACGTTCACTGGATTTTTGTTTGCGTGGCGATGTTGTGGAGCGTGCAGAATTGATATCACGTGCTGTGTGAGATGATGTTGTACGCGAACTATAATGTGGTTCGGTTGTACGCGAACTATAGTTTGGTTCGGTTGTACGCGGACGTAATAAATATTCCAATGGAACATCCTAGAAACAAAAATTGATTAACGTTAACTAAAATTTATCCATGAACAAGTACGAGATGAGATAGATTGTAACAACTAAAAATCCACTGTTATCCAACAATGTAATTTGACTTACTTTATCATCCGGGCTAAAGTGGGAAATTAGCTGTTCATCAGTTTCATCTAGCTTTCCAAATGTTAACAATTCAGCTCGTTTCATTTCTTCGTCTTTCTCGCGACGTTGCTGAATGTCGAGATCAATTTTGTGTTGAGTAATATCATCTTCGTAGCGGTTATCGATGGTCACTGTTTTTGTTCTCGGCTGATTCACAGTAGAGCGATGACGATCTTGGATGGGAATTTGGTGAAACTGATCTGATGCTGGAATTTGTTGTGGCTGATGTACAGCCTGTTGTTGTTGTTGGCGTTGTTGTTGTTGTTGTTGTTGGCGAATACGAAGTTGTTCTCTCTCATATTGATCTTTTTCTATTTGGTTTAATAAAGCATCAGCATTCGACCCCGTTATATCAGTAACATTCATAAACTTTCTTTCATCACCTTGACCCCCTTTGCTAAATTGCAAATCATAGAAGATTGGAGCCCCTTCGGTCATTGTTGATCGTTCTCGTCGACGATTATCCAACATTTGCTGTTGAAGTTGACGAGCAGCGGAAAAATGGGCTTCTGCTGACGTAAAGTTGATCCCAGTCTCACGTAGTAAAGCCTAAAATAAAGTATATTTCATGATCCCTGTCTATTTTAGACAAAATATATCTCACTTGAAATAAGCCAGGCTCTAACATATAACCATCCTGTCGAGGTACCTCAGCTTGTACGGCAATATGTACTTTCTCTTTTTGAGCATCGGCAGAAGAAGAGACGATATTTGTTGTTGGTAACGGCAACGGTTCTATTGTGTCAGAATGTGTTTGGGGTGGTCGCATTCGTAATAATTGTAATTGTGGACGATTTAATTCAGCGTAGCGTTGCATAATATTGTGCACAAATGAATGTTTTTGTTGCTCAATTGGTGGAGGAAAGCCGGATACGGCTGGTGCGGTTTCTAAACGAAGCATTGGTGTTGATGCAAATGGACGCATTAACGGAACAGACAGTGGAAAATATTGTTGCTGCTGCTGTTGTTGTGGGATAACAGGATGGTTGATATAGACGTTGGATGGCTGAACAACTCTATAGGACGTTTGAAGTGTAGTAAGCGAGGATGGCAAACGTAATAACGGAAAATTTTGAATAATATTTGGAGTCATTGGAACATATTGTACATGATCGCGTTTAGCTGATAAACCAAACGGTTGCGAAATTTGTGGTAAAACCTTTGTTTGTTGTTCATGTCTACCACTTCGTCGCTCAGTTCGAGGACGGCGATGGGAACGTCTCGAACGTGACCTGTCTGTACCTAAAGTGAATAAAGACTTATCTTATTAACCTTAATCACATGACATAGTCTCCTATTCGATAACAATAGGACAAGAAGTATTTATTTTCAACTATTTTTTTGACGTACCTGGTATTGAATATTTTTCTGTTTCCTCTTGTTCTATTCGAGTTTCAGCGTACGGATCCGAATCATCGAAAAAACGTCGACTGTTCATCGATTGTCGAGCTGTAGAATTATCAGGTGATTTGATTGACACCTTAGTTGGACTTTTACGCGCAGTACTGTGATGACGAGGACTCATTTGCCGAGCTTTATAATATTCAGTAGGAAATTCTCTTAGATCATATGTTCCTTCACTACCAATATCTGTTGCCATTGAATATGCTTCTCGCGATGATGCTCGAAAACGATCTGTTTCATTTTTAATGTCTTCATCACCACCCACAACACTTATAGGTAACGTTATACTTTCATCAAGCGTGTAAGATAAATCATGAACACCATCAGTTGCATTCGGGCGAATCGTATCTTTTTTAATTCGACGTGGTGATGATATTGCTTCACTAAAATCTTCAGGTGATGGTACATCACTGTCTTTTGTGACGTTTGTTAAACTCGTATCATTACCATTGCTACCCTTATCTTGCTGTTGAGGATTGAACTTCCTTCCACTATCGAAATTGTAAGCACTTGCTTCGAGACGACGTTTCATTGTTGACTCATACTGTTGCTGATCGCTGATGAGTGATGTAGCAGACAGAAATTGAGCGGAAACAGGAATTCGAAGACCAGTAGTAGATTTGACTGTTGATTCTGAATGTTGAGCTTCATTTAGTGTCGAAAAATCTCTATTTGCGAAGTTCGTCATCCAGATGCTTAATCGTGCAGAATTTGTATATGGTTCATCAAATTGACGAACATAGGAGCGACTGGGCTCATCTGAACGACCGTCCCATTGTTCACCATATTGAGTGGATGAATTCTGATTTGAACCGTTCCTGTTATGATGTTGGTTATTACGATTTAACGTGATAACATTTGGTTGTTGTCCGTGAGTTTCAATGTTATATGTTCCAATAAGTTGATCACGATTATTTTGAAATAAGGATGGCTGTGCGTCTAATCGAAGTGTTCGAACAGGAAATACAACATACTCATGAGGTTTTGATGAAATAAGAGACTCATATGATTGTTTTAATAAATAACGTTTCTCCAAACTAGGTGGAAGTTCAATACCACGTAAACGATCGGACATTGTATGCAACAATGGAACAACATTATCACTAACGTTTTTTTTATCCGATAATGAAGATGTATCTAATAATAGTGGAATAAGAACATTCATAAATTCACCATATTCCGTACTTGATTCAAACCATTTTGGATGAAAATTAAACAATGGTTCATTATGAAGATCTGATCTAAATCAAGAATTACATCCCTAATAAAATTATGAACAAAAATTTTAGCTCAAATTTCTTACTTTGTCATATAATGTTTGATCATTTCACTTTGTGCATCAGTATTTAGTTGTGTCTGTAAATAACTATCATACATTTCAATATATGTTGGATTTATTAAATACCATTTTGCTTTTAGACGATCAATCAAATATTTAATTTCAATAGTATCATCGTACGCTGATGTTAAATTAATTAAATTAGCTACATCTTTAATTAATACTGGTGTTGGTTCTAAATCATAAACAATATTCAATATTGAACGCAATAGTAACGTTTCATCTTGTAATAAAAATCGAAATGATATGAGTATTGTACCATAATGAATTATTTGCCACGATAATTTTTCATTTTGCTGTGATTGTCTAAAATCAGTTTTTTGCTGTATGTATTTTCTCAGTGCTAATGATAAACGATCGCGAATATCTAATAAAAATAATATTGAGCAAAAATCACGAAAATAGATTAATATTCGGTCAGGAATGTTCGGCAATTTATGAAATCTAAAATAAAATGAGAATATATAAAAAAAATGATATTGTAAAATGATATTTTTTTACCTTAAAGATTTTATTAAAGATTTCATTGTTGCAAATACACTCGTATTTTGAGATTGTTTTTCTGTATCATTTGTGTTCAAATAATCAAGATACCATTTTAAACAAGATAATTGTATTTTTGTTGTTGATAATAGTGTTATGAATATTTGAATTGTTCGATAAAATAATAAACGTAGATGATACTCCCATCTTGCATTTATATCTGTATCATACTCATCGTATGTATTTAACATGGCTGAATAAACTGGTGGACATGGTAAATAATAATTTGGTGTAATAATAACTGATAATAATGTAAATAAATAGATCATAATAGCATTTAAACGACGAAATAATGCTTCAGCTAATGGTGCTTGTAAAATTGTTGAACATAAAAGAAATTGTTCTAATGGTGATTTTATTTGTTGTAAAAATTTATAAATTTGCTCTTGTTTATATTGACGTTTGATTAATAATTTTAAATTATCTATTTCCAAATATTCACATAGTTTAATATATAAAATTGAATCGACTGTTAAAGAATTAATTGGAGAATATAAACTAGATTTAAATGATGTATAATAAGATTTTTTTTCTAACTGTTGTGATGGTAATACGGCGGCAAGACAGAGTGCAGTACGCCAATCACCAATCATTTTTGAAAATAAGATAGCTTCAAGAGGCGATTGTCCAAGTATAAATAATTCTAATACTTTTAATGGTTGCCAAAAATTACTCAAATTTTGTTTATCAATACAATTTTTTAAACGTAAACGATCAATATGAATATAACGTGTTGCTGTTGTTGATTGATGTTGTGATTGTTGTTGTTGCTGCTGCTGCTGTTGATTTACTTTAAATAAATTTGGTAATGGTCTTGCACTATCAATTGAGTACACATATAATGATGTTGAATCATTTAACATTGCACGTGCCATAAAACGTGCTAATGTACGTAAAACAGATCGAATAGCATGATTTGGTATACCAAAATGTGTACGTGTATCAATAAATTGAAATACATTTGTAAATAAATCAATTGGTATAACAGATGAGAGAGTATCACGTTTTAATGCTACATTTAATACACAGATGGCTGTATACAAATTATATTGTTCAATTAATCCGTATAATAATCGATGTAAACATAACGCTTTTCGAGCTTCACTGTATTTTGTTCTCTGTGGTTTTCGTCTTGGTGTTTTATTTATAATTAAATCTTGATTCTCATCATCATTCGATGTACTATTCATTTCTCTTGCTCGTAATCGTCGAGATTTTCGACGTTCAGTTAATGCTGTATACGATTTTGTGTCAACAATTTGATTATGTTGATATTGTTTATGAGATCTAGGAAATATATCATTGAGATCGACTTGGCTACCTTTTGATAAAAATCTTATCGCATTTAATGACGGATAATTACGTAGTAATGATTGAATAAATAATCTAATTGTACATAAATATTTTGGATACAATTTATTCGCTTTTCGAGATTCATTTATTCGTTTTTCAATTATTAACCATAGACGATACCATGCTTCTAATAAAGTCATCCTTGTATATGGATGTTGAATAGTTTTATCCTGTAAAAAATAAAACAAAAAAAATGTTCAATATAGGTGAGAAAAAATTATATTTATTAAAATTATATAATATTATTATATTTTTTACCTGTTCAAAATTTTCTGGTAATATAAAAGTTGTTAAATCAACATTCAAACCTTGTAGACTTTGTAGTTGTTTTGTTCCCAAAATTTTAATATATTCTCGTTGATTATTCGATATTCGTTCAAGTTGAAATTCATTTGATGTTGAGATGTATAAAATAGATTGTAACCAATTTTCAATAATTAATAAAATACAAAAATGTACGGTTTCAGAATAATGTAATGAGTTTGCATGTTGAAAACTAGTAAATATGGATGGTAATAAACTAGCAACACATGATATATGAGTAAAAGTTACCCGACCAAAGGATGCTGATGAAATAATATTGGTTAAAAAACGTGTAAAAAGAATAATCGATTTATGAACGGTATTTGTTGTTAAACTAGGTGATTGTTGTTGTTCGACAAAAGATCGAAAATAAGATGATAAACCAATGTATGTCATACGATTAACTCTTTTACAAATTTTGTGTCGAGAAACTAATCTAGTATGTAATAGACCATGAGCCGATAGAATGTCTTCAATAGTAACTGGTGACGTTGGTGATAGATCATTCAAACTTTTAAGCGAAACAAATGAATCTGCACGATTATTAGAATCAAATGACTGATGAACCAAATCATCACCGGATATTATCGGATTACTATATTCAAAATTTTGACGTAATTCATCATGGAGTGATAATGGATCAATGTTTTCGCTCCTTAAAGAACCTAATAAATAAAAATATAATAATGGATCATACAATTTTTTATCACGTATTCTATCTGAATATGTTAATGTTGCTAAACGATAACCATCAGAACAATAGAATGTAGGAGAGTCAGGATTATTGGCTAATGAAAATATTTGTTCGCCATGTTTATCAGCCGAAGACAAATTTACTGAACGCATAAACATATCAACACCCAGATGAGTTGTACCTAAAAAAAAAGAACACATTTTTAAGAAAGAAACGGATGTTATGAAAGATTTTATGTAAAATTTAGTTTATCACCCACCTTCACTTTCGGGACCAATTAATGGATGTATAATGATATAAGGCAATGGACCTTGTTGAACACATTTTCCCGCTGTAGATAGAATCAATTGGTCTCCAAAACGATTTACGACAAATATTGTTCCACGATTTGTTAAACCAACAACAAATTGATCATCGTATGACCACACTAAATCACTAATCATTATTGATCGATCTTGCTGAACTGTTGGTATTGTTGCGAGAGAAGATGAAGATGATTGTCGAGATAAGGTAGAACATTTGCAATGAATATAACGTGCAAAAGCGATTGCTGTCAGTGATGCAAATACTATTAACGGTTCAGATGCCTTTTGATGGATACTCATAGCAAGTATCGGACTTGTATGTGAAAATCTTACAATTCCAGATGTACAATGTGGTATTGATATAACAAAATCTTCAACTTTCCACGATAATTTTCTTTCCGAATTAACTGTTGATTTCCAATCAAAATCAAAACGACTAATTTGTGGTAAACCATTTTTATTTACAAACGTGATTGCACAGATTAATAGGCACCGTGATGATGCAAAATACACATCACTATGCATTACTTCATCGACTGATTTCAAATGTTCGGGTAACATTAATTCCGTCCATAAGCCTTCATTTGACGATAGTGTGGATGCTGCACAAAATTTACGACGTTGATGGATAAGCGTAGCATCTTGATTTTTCAACCAACAATATATTCGCAATGGGTAAATAATAAGTACAATTTGCTCACCACTATTGCTGACAAATAACTGAAAACGATTTGTCTGAATTGGCTTTGCATTTTTTGTTGCCGTGAAACAATTAGGGACAGTGAGAGAACTATTAGTGTCTTTATGCCAAACGAATATGTCATAGGATGATTGTAATAAAAAACAGAAAATATTTCCATTGTTCGATATCGAATGTGCTACTGATGTTTTCGAGGCATGAGCAGCGTCTTTGAATGACAGATGATGAATTTTACCGCTAACGCTATCGACTGCTTCGAATCTTGATTGACCACCACCTGAATTGAAGCAGATAAGCTCTTGCTGCGTAACATAAAACTTAGTCCAAGGTTTGTCCCGTTTTAAAACAACATTGTTTTCGATATTTAATTGTAGTTTCATTATGAAGCTAAAACATACGAAAGAATGGCTCAGTAAATGCGGAAAATCTGTGGCTCATCCGGATTTTTTTCATGCGTCACCCGCCAACTATGAAGTTCAAAACCAATGTGCATTTGCCTAAAGCAGTTTCATTTGAAATTTACAGAAAAATAAATGGACAAACAGAAATACGGTTAACATTTATACTGCTGTCTTATACGTTCAGATATCGTTGCAGAAAGAAAAAACATTTTCATACTACATTCTTCTGGCAAAATTAAGTCGCATTGCGTCATTCAGCCATAGGCGGCGGAACGTTTTCAAATGCGGGAAGCCTCACAAGGGAACCTCATCAACTGATACCCTCTGTTTGAGCTCATACTCTGCTCATAGGTAGGACTCATAGTGGAGATAAAAACTCTAAAAGAATTCATCCCCTTGACTCCTGAAGACCTGGTTTTCTGGAAAACCAGTTTTTCAGAAACTCTAAAAAATAACCAAAACCTTTTCTTAGTGAGACATGATTGTAGCCCGCACATTTCTGATTAAAATGAGACATCTCCCAGCTCTACA